AAAAAAGAAAAGGAAGACAGTAGTAACAAGAAGCTACTAACAAAGGGCATCGCTACTAGGAGCGAGGGCATCGCTAGTAGTACCAAGAAGCAAGGGATGCGACCTTGCGACCTCAAACCGAGAACTCAGGCATGTCGTGTGACCAGCTCGTGAAGCGAGCAAAGGTGATAGAGCTCCTTGCTCGGGATGGCAGTCAAGAGTTCAATCGGGACAGCTTTGGCACCTTCATAAGAACTTGAACATGTTGACATATTATGTTATATAATTTGAACAGAAAGGAATCAATTTGTTGTTTTCGATTCTCAGGCCGCTGGTGGAAAAGACTAGAGAAGTCGTGGCGTATGACCTCACCTTGAATGTGCCTTCCCCGATTCTTAGAACGTCACGCTATGCTTTTGTTTCAGTCGTGTGGCTCTAGCCATCGAATGATCTCTTGAGACCATGAGGTTGAACCATCTATGGCCCGTATCTCAGGATGAGGGCACAAACATTGCAAAGCTTTATGGTGGTATGTGTATATATATTTTTTTTTCTAACATGAATAAACAAGAAAGCTACTAGGGGCTCCTGGCATCGCTACTAGGAGCAAGGACGCTACTAGGGGCTCCTAGCCATACTACTAGGAGCAAGTAGCTACTAGGAACAAGGGCATTACTTACTATAAACACAAGCACCTAAACTTGACAAAGGATGGTCAGCACATTGCTGCGGTCATCGCACGCTGTGGCCAGAAGATCAATGCGGAGTGCCCTTTTTCATTGGCTTCACTTGAACGTTTTCAACACGTGGGTTCGGCAGGTCAAGAGGGTAGGGGGTAGTATTGGGAGCGAGTTCTTAGTGCTTCCCACAAGCTCTCAAGCTGTGCCTCATTCTTCAATTCTGGCTCAGCTTTAGCGGGCAGAATTATTCAAAGACCCCTACAGAAACAGAGACGCCCAATGAGCCTGCAGACGCTCCATTTGTACTTTTAAAATCTTTTAAACATGTTCAAGTTAGAGTGACAAATCTTAAGTTGATCACTATATTGTGAGTCCGCAGTGCACATGGATATGCTGGTGCCATGGCACCGTGTGCAGCCTGTGGACGAGCCGAGGCAATAGTTTCAATAGTTCTGCTGCTTTCCGCATGTAAACAATTCGAGGTGGGGTTGTTGCATGTGCGCATGTGCTATGTGGTGATTCAGTTTTCGGCCCAAGCATTGGAGTGCAAACGGACTAGTACCAGGTGCAGCTTCACATTCCAGACTTTCCAGTTAAATTACGACGTCGGGACACAGGACAATGCAAGGAATCTCTGACTAGGCTGTCGTTTTCCTTTGGTTGCTCCTTTGTTGAAGCAAAGACTTTTCAAGCTAATTACTTTTTCAGCCCACTGTTTGTTTCCCGACTTTTGTGCTCATGAGCGCTGAAGCCGAGCCTCGACAGCGCTGAAGTCCTGGATTCACTGAAACCAGCACCAGTCTTTGAGATGTCTTTTTGGCGCCTCCGAAAGCGTTTAAAAGTTCAGATTTAGACTTCAGTTACTCCATCAAGCTGTGGTCGTATTCTGGCCTTCACCGAAGTCTGTTGCGCAAAGTAAAGTGTTATAATACCCACCAAGGGCCATTTGGGTGATGAATTGCGTTCAGGACATGTCGGACTGATGTCGGCAATGTCAGCAGCACAGGCCCTTGCCTTGGTACTCCCTGGTGCAGTTGTCACTTGGACAATGTATGTACATGTCCGTTTGAACCGGAGCTGGCTCCTATCAGCAGCGTAGTGTAAATATGTATTGGTATTGGAGGTTCTTTCCTATTCAGTACAGGGCAGCCAGTTGGGCGCTCGCAACACACGATTCATGCTGGCAGACATGGTGAATGTGACATGATGTGTTTTCCCATATTTAGTGCCAAGCATGTATTCCACAATGAAAGGTGTGAGAATTCCTGAATCCCAAAGCTTCACATCATCCCCAGTAGATATCTTCTAGAGGCCTTATGTTCTTCATTCATCAGTTCTCCCCCGCGAAAAGAAAGACAACTTATGATAGGCTTGGAGAATTGACATCATCATTTCCCCTTACTCTTTTTGGACCTTACTCCCAACCGGAACCATGTCCTCTTTTTCCTACCCTTCTCACTGTCACCCCGTACCAAAGCTGCCCGCGCCTGATACTGTGCCAGGCCATTAGGGCCACTCGTGGCTGGTTACACAGCACGACCTCCGTGGCAGCCTGGGCCTCCGAGGTGGGGAGATTTGAGACGGGAAGAATTTGTTCGAAACCGGCACGCCTGAAAAGATGAGAAGAGCATCGAGGACAAAGATTTCAGAAATAGAAATGAAGAAGGCATAGAGAGAATGAAAGACGTGACAAATGTCAATAAAAAGAGGAAACTTTAACGTTCAGAGATTGCAACTTGAAGAAGACAGACTCGCAATGCCGCCTGGGGCTCAGTTGAGTCTTGATCTCACACTTCCTCCGACACCTCCTTGGTGTCTGAGAATATTCCGGCAACTTTTCGTGCCTGTGAGATGCCTGAAGCTGCTGCAGCGCTGCGGGGGCAGAATTTGGCTTCTTGGTTAAAGGCAGATTTGCCCCAAGAGGTCGAGACATTTGCCCCTAGTAGCGATACCCTTTGCTCCTAGTAGCTTGATTGAGCTTGATTGTCGATTTCTCGAAGGTCTACTTCAATGGTGCCTTCTCCCCACCAACGCCTGGAGCACAATCCAGAACAGAGTGCATTTGTGTATCTAGGATCATTTATATAGGTAGCATTGTGAAGGTTTGGCTGCCTTCAGGTGTGCCCATGCTCACATTGCTGCGACTATTTGCAACGATGCAGAGGTGCGGGATGCATTGCCACAGGCTGTTACATGGCGTGTGTCGGTGCAAACCCATTTGCATTTTTCTCTAGCGACGGTGTGGGGTGTCTAAAAAGACGACACGCTATTGCTCCAGGCAAAGTATCATTCGATGTCGATCTCTAATTCCTGCAAGACCCTGCAAAACGATACCTATAGCAGTCCTCATGCCAAACGCTGTACGACGATTTACTGGACGTCCTAACTTTGAATGAGCTGTATTCTATTGTGCTCTTCATTTCCTTCACGGTAGGTTTCGGCCCTATGGTTGGATCCCGAGCCTGCTCGACCCGGCAAGGAACGATGCTTGCCTGTAGAATTGCGTGACAATAGCTGATTCCTACATTGTATTCAATTCATCACGCTTCATTGTGATAGTGTTCCCTAAGGATGGCAGAACGAAACTATGGAGGCCATGTTTCTTTCCATGTCCTGCAGTACACCATAGTACACCTCTCCTCTCTCTCTCTCTCTCTTTTCTTGAAGCTTCTACAGCATAGAAATGTAAAGTGTGCCTTTGCAAGGCCCGCATTGATATGTGCGAACTACTGGCACAAGAGCCGCGACTTCGTGGTCGTGCAGGCAAACTCGCCCAGTGACAAAGAACACTGTGAGTTCGATTGTTTAACAACACATGTTTTTAAATTGATGTTTTGATTTGGAGGTGTGGGTTGCCTCCGGAAAGACCTGGGACCAGAGCTTGGGACGTCTGTGCGGACCCCATGTATCTTTTGTGCTTCCAAGTTGTTTACAAAAAGGAAAAGAACAAAAAAACAAGGTCAAAAAGTAAAGGTCAAAACAATCAACTTTGGGCATTCCTTCAGTTCCTTCCGACATCCTCGATCCAGACTAGTTGCTTCAGGTTGAGCTCTTCAAGGTGTTCCGTGGTTGCAGCTGGAAACCTCACAAGAATGGCAACAGCAAAACAGCCTAGGCTACGTGCCTTGCTTGGGCCTGACGGCAAGCTTACCTGGGCAGTAGGCGGCGAGCTCATGGCACTCAGGAGTTGAGATTCCTTGTTCTGTAAATCTTCCAACCTACTAGCGATGGCCTCCAACCTTATAGCCTAAACCACTGAATGTCGCAGGTGCCGATGTTTTCGAAGGGATGAAGCACTGGGCGGACAAGGTGCTCCCGTCTCTGCTCAGCCGCCATGATACATATGATACTTTCATTCCAAAGGCAGCTCAAAAAGTGGTGTATGTAATGCACCTGCAATTTACATCGAGAACAGGTCGATGCTGCATAGTGGGCCCAACCTGTATGGAATGTGGACTGCCATGTGGTTGATTAAATGCTGTTCTGACCAGCTCTGAAGTGCATATCTTCCAAAAGCACTTCAATAGCCTTGGATCTTGGACCAATCCTTTTGCATTCTGTGTGTGGCCGCCGTGGCCGGGGCCCGACAGGCTCGGGAGTGCATGCGTCCAGGGGAGACCTGTGATGCTTTGCTGCTCTTTACGCGGGATGGATGGACCTCAAAACGGCTGATGGTAGCAGCGCAGGTGGGACGAGACGCGACGGGGTTATTTCAGATGGCGTGGCGTGAAAGAGTTGCTTCGTCCGTGAACTAGAAGATTGTAGAGACAGCACTTAGCTGTCTTGGCTCTTTGGATGAAGGCTGTGGGCCACGCGCCCTGCCATGCCAGCGACACAGGGATTGCTGCACCCTGTGGCATGGATGTGTCGCATGGATTCTGTTTGGGTTTCAGGTCTCAGTCATTCCTATGCCTCAGCACTTGCTGGCAGTCTCAAGCCACCAGGCAGGGGCCAACTTTGAGATTTCAACGATTTTTAGGCACCGAAAAATGGGCTCTCCAGGCAAGACATGCACTTGCCCAAGAATTTGCGGCTCCCCAGCCATTGTGGGGACTGAATCCGTATTGTGATGTGTCCTCGGCGAGCTGACTTGTAGCAAGGGCCAATCAAACTAATCTTCCAGTGCAGTGCACTTTGACTTGTCGTCCTCCCACAGGAGCTTTGGGCATGATGCCACACAGCATTGCAAAGTAGCTTGTTTGCAGCCCTGTGTCAAGGAGTTTACGTCTACGTCGAAAGCACACCCGAAAAACAACCAGCATGTCAGGAATCTTGCGGTTGAAGCTTGTAGCATTCACTGCCCCACCTGCGTCCGCAATGACTGAGGTTTTGCTTATCCAGGGATGATGTTTGCAGGACTGAGTTCGATTTCTTCATGGCTGAAATTTTGCGACGTGACATCTGACATAGTGAGGATCTATGCGCAGCAAGTGGCTCGACTGTAGCAAGGATCTATGCTCACTGTTGCGCTTTCTGCGGACTTGCTTTCCCGCTTTTTTCCATCCAAATATTTTCTACATCCGGGTCAAGATTTTGAGTGCCAGTCTCAGACTTCCCGCACCGATTGCATGACAAGAATTCAGCTCAGCTGCACTCTGATCGCTCTGCGTTTTCCGTTCTGGCAAGCTTCCAAAGGATGAGTGCAGAAAAAGGAGCCGCAAAAACATCGTCGGCGACAATCGGGCTCGTTCAACGTCTGGTTCCATGTCCACACTGTGACTTGTTAAAGACATTTTGCTGGCTTCACACAACTCCAAGAACTTTTACCAGGCTGCCAGCCTTTGTGGCCGCTGTGAAGCAACGCCTTACCCTTAGAAACTATTGCCGAAATTGACTGCTTCTCTGGAAGGTCAGTCCTTTATTGCCGCCCTGAGTGGCACTGAATGATGCTTTATTGGACGGTTTGACTGTCTCATCTGTCTCCAAAACGTTAACAGTGGGGCCCCACCTTGTGATTTTCTCACGCTCTTCACCTCTGTCAGCCTCACCCTATGGCATTTGGTGCAATCTTCATGCGAGATCTGGTGGCTCGCCTCAAGCGTCGGCCCATGGACATGTTCCTGGCTCAAGAATCTCAGCAAAGAGATAAGAGCTTCAGAAAATGTTGTGTTGCTGAATGCAACACTTCATTCCTACTCGTTCTTTTGTGTACTGCATGGTTTTCATTGGTACCCCGTTGGCACAAGGAATGATCTCAGGGAACATAGAACTGCAGTTGAAGAGCTTGTGTATATAAGTCAATCAGCAATGCCACACTTGCTAAGAACCTCTTCTGAGAAGTGGACAGTGCAGAAGAGAAACCCAGTTCTATACACAATATACACGGAGCTAAGCATAGCTTTGCTTTCCGGTAGCTGCTTGCCCTGATTTTGCTTTACCAGCAAGGAACCTTGTAACTTGACGCCATGGCAGACAATCCTTGCACGCCACCACGGCGCAAGTCCGACATTGGGTCCTGCGGCTGGAATTGTCAGGACTTCACTGTCACCACCGTGGGTACTGTACTGCATCGATGCCATTCCATGCCCACACACCACACTATGTATACAAGCCATACACATTTGATACAAATGTAACGGTGTGTAAAACAAGTTAGAACAGCTTGTCATGCCAGTTGGGATGCTTTCCGCAGTCCGGTGCGGTGCTCACGCAGACTGGCTTGTGGTGCCAGGAGTCCAGCCAGTCCGCTTTCTCACCATTGCAGCGCCTGCGGCAGGGACCAACCTTTCAACCGTCACTTGACGAGTTTAGCTTCACAATTAAGCTAGTAGAAACAAGTGCCACGCTAGTAGTAACAGGTGCCTTACTAGTAGTAACAAGAAGCTATTAGAATTGTTACTATTTATAGATCGATCAATGTCTCACTTTTGAACTTTGAACGGCTTGCAGAGTTCTTTGTGCTCTCATCATGAGGCCACGGCGTTCATCTGTGCACTCCTTCAGCACGAGACCCTTTGAGGCTGTGATTCCTATGGTGTAGTTCAAAAACACAAAGTCAATGAGCCAGGCACCTTCGGGCCGTCCCAGAGAAGATGTTGCCCAAAGTGCCCTGTCAGGCTGTGCATGCAAAACATGTGAAACTGTGAAGGCTAACAGTAAAAAAATAACAAAATATAGGTTATCAAAAAAGAAGGTAAGGCCCGTTTAAGGCCCCTTCCTTTTTCTAATTGTATATTCTTCTTGTTTCATCCTTCATATTTAGCTCTCGACTTTGAAATGTTTGTCCCATTGTTCTCCTTGGCGAGGATCGGAGTTGTCTCCACAACCGGCCTTGGAGCAAGAGATCGAAGGCGGACGTCGCACACGATCACAAAAAAGCGCCAATACTTGAGCAGCTTCAAAAACCTCTATGATGAAAAGTGTGCAAACTGTAATCTCACATCCTTTCGCGAAAGCCAAAACGCAGGTCGCGAAAGGTTCGCGAAAGCCCCGCGAAAGAACCCCACAAAACACCACACCTTCCGCGAAAGCCAAAATGCAGGCCGCGAAAGCTTTGCGAAAGCAAACCTGGATTATACACAAAAGTAATAGGGGTTTTCGAAGCTGCTCACTTGCCGAATCAGAAAATCGCTTGCAGAATTTGTGACGACACAAGCTTGCAAATTCTGCTCACAAGGCTTACAAAAAGCTCTGGCATTTGAGAGCCGACACTGTCGAGAGCACTTTGCGGTGCGTCGACGTTTGTATCAGCTCCAGAATGCCCAAGCAAGAGGAGGACTTGCCATCTAACCCCCTGAATAGCCCAAAAGGCTTCGATGCTGCTGGCAAGCCGCACTGCAAGCCCTTGCGTTGAAATATGTTGAAACCAAAGATTCCCTTGCTTGCTTTCGACTGAACTTCTGAACTCCAGGATTAGCAGCTCCAGAAGACCAGAAAGAAGAAGCGGCAGATGAACTCGAGAAAGCTCTTTGCTTAGCACAGGTTTTAGTGCGCCTAGTTGCATTTGGGTGCCTTCATGTTTTGCAATAAAGCTAGCAACTAGCATAAGCAAGCTTTCTTTCTGGACCCGAAGTCATCCACAGGATCAAGTCAAGTCCAAACTGCTTCCCTCAATCTAACTTGAGCACATAGAAGCCATGGCCACAATGTCTGCACTTCCATTCATCAAGGGGGTGTCCTCGCCAACGCGCTCACTGAGCGTGCAAGTTGTGGCCGAACAAGAAGCGTCCCTCTTGCGGCAAGTGGAGCATTGGCATCAGATGTACTTGGACTCGGAGGCATCCTTCGTTCAATTGAAGGCTGAGGAAAGTATTCTGCAGAAGCAATTGTCTAGTGCAAGTGAACGTGAACGGGCTTTGGCTTCAAAGAACTTGGATCTTCGGAGCAAGCAAGCTGATGAGGCCGAAGAAGCCCGCAAAAAGGCAATCCTTTGTGAACAACTTGGCAATGCACGTTTGATGCTGCAGTGCAAGGATGACGAACTGCAAGAAGCTCGGAGGCAGTTGGCAACTCGAGCAGAGGAACTAGAGAAGTTGAGGGAGGATCTTAGAAAAGGGCATTTTGATGTGGAGCAGCACAAAGCAATGGAGTTGGAAGTGGGTGATCTTCGAAAGAGGTTGGAAGCATCCTTGAAGAAGATCGCTGCCAAGGAGCACTTCTGTGAAATGATGGATCAAGAGCTGAAGGTGTTGCGGAGCCAGCTCCCAGCAAAAGAGGCAGAGCTGGTGAAGTCCAAAGGGGATCTGAGAAAGAAGACTGTTGAAGCTGAACAGCATGACAAGGCCATGCAGTGGGAACTCTCTGACTTGCAAGTGCGGCTGGATACATCGTTGCAGAAGATGGCATCAAAGGAACAAGAGATGGATCGATTGCAGCTGCGACTGAAGGAAAAAGAGGAGGAACTCGAACAGCACAAGATCCAGAAAGCCGCAGTGGAGGCTCTTGAGTTGGAAACAGCTGAGCTTCATGGGAAATTGGAGGCCGCTTTGAAAGAGATTGCTACCAAGGACCACTTATTCCAGCTGAAGGAACAGGAGTTGCAGACGCTGAAGGCTGATTTCCTAAAAGAACACGAACTCTGCCACGCAGCTGTAGCCGACAACTGTGAGTTGAGACAGATCTACTGTGAAAAGCTCAATGCTTTGGGAGAGCAGGAAGCCAAACATCAGAGGTCCGTGCAACTCTTGGAAGCTGAGAGAGAGATGTGGCTGACCAGGAGCGATCATTTGGAGAAAGCGAACACTCGTTTGCGAATGGATTTGCAGAAAAACCTCCAAACAGCTGAAGTGGAGATGACTTTGACACCCACACCTCCTCCACGCCCATCTACCGCTCGATCCTTCCGTGAGAGAGCCTTATCTCAGTCTCCACGCGAAATTCGCTTGAACTACCCCAGAGCTGGCCGAACTCTCCTTCAGCATCGCGCATGCGAGGGCAAGTTCAAGAGCGCGCAGGAGGCTTGAAGGCTTGAGACTGAACGTTTTGTTCAGTTTGACGACTTGATCATTTTAAACCTTGGAGTCATTGTGTGCAGTTTTGGGGTCCATCTTGGCTCCTGGACGTGTGTGCCTTGGCCTGCGTCTTTTCTGTAGCCGATGTCGCTACTCGTTGGAAGCACTGTTTGACCGGCAGCGACCGCAGCTGGTCATTGAGTCAGCTCGGCTGGGAGGTTGCACTGGAACTGTGACAAAGTCAGCACCTGCGGCCTTCCAGAATGTACCTCTTTAGACGGACTGCAATCAAGCTCAGTCCCAAAAAGGTTCGGCCAAGGTGCGTGGAGGCCATTGCTTTTAGGTTGGAGACCGTGGCTACTAGGGTGGAGCCATCGCTAGTAGGTTCCGGACCGCATTGGCACGCCATGATGGGCCATGATGTAACTTTCGGCCTTTCTCTAGCTGAAATCCCCTGCTTCTTGGTCAGGTGAGATCGGCTTTGGAGGAACTGCGTCGTGGCGGCGAAGAGGAAAAGCTTCATAGAAGTCAATTGGAGGCACCACTTGTTCTTGCTCATCGCTCGATTAAGCCTTGGTTGTTGCTTCATTGTGGGAGTTTTGGTCCATTGGGAATGCATTCCTTCAGGAGAAAGTCATGAGAGAAATTGAGGACGGAAAGCCGCAACGGCGTGTACAAGACGGATGTAGATTGAACATGATTGAATATGAACTGGAATTGATATTGAATTGATCATGTGATGTACATTTGGCGAGTTGGGATTGACATTTGTCACATTTTGTTACCTTGCTTACTAGGAGCAAGAACGCTACTAGGGGCTCCTGGCCTTAGGAGCAAGTAGTAGGCTCCTGGCCTTATTGTTACCTTGCTTGCTCAAGCATTTTGTTCAAAGAAACATCCCTGGCCCACATGGGTAAAGGACCTGAAATCGTCGCCCTGCTCACCTTGGTCTCCCTTCCGGTGCGCCAATCAGCAGAGGGTTTGGGGCAAACACACCAACAAACTGACTGTAGACACAAGCGACCAGTGCATGAACGATACGATAGTGATCTAAATAGTTCGAGAGCTATATGTATAGACGATATATGACGATATGTATATACTTGAAGACATGTGCAGGTTTGAAGTGCAGATTTGGCTTGGACCGGTCATTTGTCTCAGGAGCCTGAGCCGATCAAACTTGTTGGCGGAAGAGCGGGAGCGGAAACGGTTCCAAGCGGGCGAGGTTCTCCATTCGGAGGCAGCTCTTGCATTGGATGGGCAGATGTCTTGCAAAACTCGCGCGCACTCTGGGAGATGAGTGGGTACTTTAATGTTGGGCTGGACTATGCTATAGCATTGCATGATATTGATAGGCTATGGCATTGTGTGGGTTCTTGCCATCGCTGACTAGCACAAAATGTGCTGTACAT